AAAAAAAAAAAAAATTTTAAAAAAAGGTTTTTTAAGAAAAACCCCGTTTTTTTTTTTTTTTTTTTTTTTTTTTTTCCACGACCTCACCAGTATATACCAACAACAAAAACACTATGTAAACACATACAACAAAAATATGGTGAGTCTTGGACTTTTTCAGTTAATTTGGATTTTCAAAAGGACCAAAAATGCAGATGGTCCCTGTTTTTTTTTTTTTTTCTTGTTTGTTTTTGCAAATCATAGACCAATAAAGCAGCTACAAAGAATTTACTTTAGCATATGTTATCGTTATCTCCACTCTTTTGAGTCTTTATTATTTTGTATCACATCAAAAATAAATAAACATTTATAATGAATGTTTTTTTTTGTCGCATATGGATAATTCAAACAGCAATAATTGTTACTCTTATATACGTTTTATCCTTATACAGCATGTATACAAATACACATGTCACAAGAAAATAACCTATTCACTGCTTCTGCATAAACAAGTAACCAGCAGAAGATAAGTCAGAGCCTGCGAACACAACGCTCTGCAACATGAAGAAGGAGGAGAAGTGTCCCATTTAATTTAAACCAGATCTTCTGCAGATTTTACATTCATTGTAAAGTCTTTCTTCCTCCGGTCTCTCATGAATCTGGTCAAAACAATGAAAGCAAAATATCTCTTTTATGAGCATCTTTAAGGCAGTTGAATACAGGTTCATTTAAAACACCAACCTTTTTTTTTTTTTTTTGACTAAACTGTTTCTACGGCCAACATTAATGGGAGCAAAAGCAAATGCTTCAGCCAACTACAGTAATTTCTGCTTGGATATATTTGATTCACTTCATTGCATTTTTTTTTTTCAAATCATAGTTTGTTCTTTAGTAGGAGTATAAAATAATAGTAATAGGAAATATGATGGTGTTTCTATTCAAAGAAACACTTCATTTTTTAATCACCAGCTTCAGATTTCACCGTGAACAACTGACATAATGAAGAATGGATGCATTTTTTTCATAATTACCTACAGCTGACCTACTCTACTGCTATAGTCATCGTCAGATTACGTCGCAATTGCTGCATGTGTGTGAAGCTGCATATCTTATTGCTTTTTATTGATTCCCTTCCAAACAGTAGTTGTGCTGTCAATTCTTGTGAAGTACTTGTCAATTGTTTTGCATGATTTTGCATGAGAAACAGAAATCTGAAGACTTTCTTTTCTTTAGTGCTGAATAGTCAAATAAACTGGACTTCTCATAACCCAGTTAAACCCTCTAACCCAGTTAAAAAGGCATGAGGTATGCAAGGTGACAATGTATAAGTGCTTTCTATGTATATATTTCAATATGTAGGTGTGATAATCAGCAAGCGGCTATAATCAAGAGTCTAATATCCTGACATGTGGCTCTTATCCAATTAAGTGGGATGTCCAAGTACTTTAAAGTCCAGAAAGATGATATTTTCCTCTTGCCTCTTGGCCTCCTGCCAGTTCAGTCAGGTATTCCATCTTTACATTTTTATGAAATCCAGGTTTTATTATTCTTTATGTGAGAAGTCAGGGCTGGACTCTTCCTCTTCCTCTTCAACTGTTTCCTCTGGCAGCGTGTCACGGCGGGTAAAGGCGGCTGCCAAGGTCACACTCAGCCGCGGCTTGACAGGCGCTAACTCAGACAGCCCGATGTTGTTGCCTCGGGTAACAAGAGTAGTTTTATCCATTATTTCCCCACTGCGGCTGGACACCACGGCATCCAGAAAGTCATATTTGTGCGAAATCTTTCCGCTCTCGAACAAGTACTTCGCCAGGTACGAGAAAACAAAGTTACCGAAAAAGGAGGCCAACATAGAGACGGTCTTAAAGGGGAACCGCTGTATGATAATTTCCTCCATTTCGTCGGAGTCCTGGTGCTTCCGCTGCTCGGTCGTCCAGCCTGGGTAATAAATGAAAGGAGGCAGGTGCAGGTAGGGCTCACCCCCGCCTATGCGCAGCAGCAGGCCAAACAAGTACGCGGCCACCGAGCCGTACGTGTTTGTGCCTTTGACAAAGAGCACGCTGAGGAGCTGCGGGAAGATGATGACATAAACCAGATCTGAGCTCAGGTACCAGAGGCCATAAACCGTGCCAGCGCCCAGGGCCATCAGCGTGGCAAGGCCGCCAAATACAAAGATTGTGATTCGCATCACCCACACAATTTCACGATCGGATGCCTTGGAAGACAGAGAATAGACATAAGCATCTAGATAGGCAACTTCAGAAAGAGGCAATTAGTAACAAAATCCTTGGTTACGTTCCTGAACTTACTGACTGTCTGAAGGCCAGCTGGTAGATGTTTCTTGCAAACATGGAGCTTGCAGACAGAATGGAGGAGTCTGCAGAGGACATGACAGCAGCAGACACAGCCCCCAAACCGAAGAAAGAAACAAATGGCGGACAGAGGTGCTGCAGCACAATGGGGAGAATCATTGCTGCTTCATCTTTGTCTTTAGGAGCTTCACCACCGTAACTTGTCTTGTTCCAGTCTGAGTAAGAGAAATAATCGTTAGTGCTATTAGAGGAAAACATGCTCTGTTTCATTTTTTGTAGATTTAAAAAATAGGAACAAACTTATTTAAAATTATAATTTAATTTAATCCATTTTCAGTGTATAATCTAAAACATCCCTGGTAGAGGCAATCTACTGCAGTAATCTCGTATTGAACAGTTTGGTGAAATACAGAATTACATTTCAGCATATGTGTCAAGATGGGAAAAAAAAATCACATTATAATATTTACTTTTAGCAAAATATCAGACACATGGTTGGAGCATGTACCATTCTTCTTAATACAATCGCTCTAAATAATCCAGAGCCCAGTTCCTCTCTTGTGTTTATTTCTCTTCAGTTCAAAACAAATTTTTAATAAGATTAAATAAGATTGCTCAGGGTCTTAGATGGCCATGAAAGGATGCTAAATGCTGTATGATCATTTCTAAGGTCAAACACTGATGCTGGACAAGAACGCCTGGCTTACAGTCTGGATATTTATTCATCCTAAAAATGTTCTTTTGGGTTATGGTCTGGAATCTGTGGAGTTCACTGAAACCAAACTCACTCTGGCATGTCTTGACACCTCTTGTTTTGTGAACTGACGTGCAGTGATGATTGAAATGAAAGGGGACCAAAACGGTCCCAAAGATGAAAGTATAAAATGATCCCAAATGTCGGATACATCTCTACAGACAACATGAATCTATTGCTGAAGAGCCTGCTGGTACTTTACCCCACCAAATCAAACATTTTGCATCCTATGGTATTAAGCTGCACATCTTGAGCAAATTCATAGAACACGATGAAACACATTTGTGTCATCACTTCTCTGTGGAAGAATCTGACACCTAAAAATCTGGAGATCACAGCACTAATTTGGTCCCTTGCCTCGCTCTAATGCAATATTTACAATCCAGCATGGTTATTAAACGGATTGCTGCTTCATTATGGATGAGGTGAACCAGCTGCTATTTACCAGGTTTTCTTAGATCTAAGGGCAACAAGAACCCACCCAGAGCCTTCCCCAGCAAAACAAACACACAGGCGAACACAACCGCAGAGTGTGTATGTGGAATGTCTCTAACCTGTGGAGGCCCCAATGGCTCCGATGAGAACGGAGGGCACGGCCATGACGAGGCATCCGAACGCGGCCAGGAAAGAGAGAACCTGTGCATAGGTGGCGGAGGAGGCAGATAACACCCTTTGGAAATACACTTGCCAAGGTATTCCTCCCAGCATCTGCAGCATGATGACCACCAAGAAAAAACATATTTAAAAGTGAAGTTCTGAATCTGGAAGCACCAAAGTCACAAATCCATAGATTTAAAAAAAAAAAAAAAGGAAAGGAAAGAAAAGAAATATCCTGAGAGACAGTATTTAAAGTTCAACATATGGAGAGAAGAACAGAGCAAATTTTTTAAGTGTATTGGAACAAGTAAGTAATTTCATAAGGGAATGATTGTGTTGGAATTAATTAATTATTTACTTGGCCACGTGTCTAACAATGTAACAAATTTATTTACTGAACAATTTCTAGAATAACAAATGAATGAAGTCAATGAAGTTCTTCCACTTTTAAGCTAAACCCAACAAGAGTAATCAACACATTTAAAAAAACAAAGTTGTTGATAAAATCAGTTTTTGACTGTATTCTTGAGTTTTAAGGCCTAATTTTGCTGAGATGAATAAACATGTAGAGACAGTACCAGAAGACAGAAGTTGTCGACCCACATCCAGGTGTCTTCCTTCTTGATGCTGCCTCTCCACGGTGACTGGTAAACCCTCTTCACTGCAGTGACGGTGATGTCTGACACCGCAGCGTTAGTCAAAGCAAAAGGGACGCTGATCCACTGCAGGCAAACAGACGTCAGTAAACACACAGGAAAAAAAAAAAAAAAAAAAAAAACACAAACTAGGAACAGAAGAGTTTCAAAACACATTTAATTTATTTTGAGGGAAACATGAACTTAACATCTTATCCTTATCCAATTAAGGATTTCTGTCCATTTCTGCCTATAATTCTGAGAGAGAATGACCAATGCATAAAATGAATCAAACGCAAGTCTTGAACTTACAAGGCCAATAAAGATGCAAAACAGCTGCACCACGTCCGTGTAGGCCACAGAGTACAGTCCTCCAACCAGGGTGTAGAAGATTGCTATGAGTGCAGAGATAACCACTGACATCTTGATGTTGATGTCCACAATGACACTCAGAGTAGCGCCTATAGGTCAAGAGCAGGTCAAAGGAGATCACAGCCCTGGTAGTGTCATAAATTCAGATACATTTTGAGGTATATCCAAGAACACTTTTGTTCTGCTGTGTGCAGACACGTGGACTTACCGAGGGCGGACAGGATGGCAGCAGACCAGAAAATCTCACCCATGAACGCAGGTATGAAGAGAAGACCACCCATGCGTTTCCCATAAAGTTGCTGGAACGGGTCCAGCATGGTGACGTAACCCCTTGAGCGCATGGGTTTAGCAAAGAAAAGCCCACCTGGGATAAAGAGAGATGGAAATACATTTCAGAGCCCATCTTCAAAACTTAAAATGGATTTGAATGAAATAATAATAGTAAAAAAACAAAACAAAACAAAAAAAAAACATAATATGGACAGTTTGATACTTGTTTAAATGTTACCACTGAAAGATGAACAGAAGAGCACTTGAGACAGTCAATCTAAAACTTTTATTTTAAATAATATGTTTAGCCAATAAAGTAGTGCATAAGTTTCTATTTCTTCCACATAACATTTTGCCATTTAAGAATAATATTACTGTTTAAGAAAACTCACCAACAACCAGACTGAGAGCATATCCAAATGGGGCTTGAGCCCAAGCCAAACCGTAGTCGGGAAGATACACATACTCAGCTGTGCCATTGATGTATCCTCCACCCACCCAGGTCGCTGCGAATTACACAAACACGTCACTAAACGTAACTGAAATTACATTTATTTGGACAGAATAATAATAATTTAAAAAAAAGAAAAAAGAAAATCTCAAATTCGAGTAGAAACAAAATCGTAAATGGTTATATATATATATATATATATATATATATATATATATATATATATATATATATATATATATATATATATATATATAAAATTTACATAGAAAAAGTTCCTCGGTTATGGGAATAGTCTCTTTAAAAATATGTACCGGAACTAATAGAACAAACCAGTAACAAACTCCACCTGTCATTGTGAATCCGCCGACAAAGAGTCCGATGTCTCTCCCTCCGACCATGATGATTTCGCTGCGGTCGGTGCCCTCCGCCTCCCCGGAGTGTTTGTTCTTCCATGCCGCCCAGATGCCCACGAACAGGATGAGGAGATAGAAGACCACGATAGCCACAAGCCCCTCTGCATGGATGGTCATTGTCGCAGTGGTCTTCTGCTAGGAACGGGAGGACATGAAGACCTGTAGAGGAGTAGAAAACATAGTTATCACAAGATATGATGTTATGTGCGCCTTTGTGTTTGTGGCAAGTGAAGTATCAACATAGTTTGGAGTGGAAACAAAGTTAGTTTTTTTTTTTTTTTTTTTTTTTTTGGCCCGTTTTGAAATACTGACCAGACACGCTGAAATCTGGTTGAAAAATAAAGGCACGTCAAAGGAAAACAAAGAAATAATTTTTCTTTAAATTATGGAAATTTAAATATTAAATTGAACTTTGATATGTCTTGTAAAATTACTCATTAAATTTGGTCATACTACCATTACAAATGAGACGGAAATGTTTCATATTCGCTTATATTCCTGGTACAAACCCCCAATACAAATAACTGAAAGATACAATTAACCCCCCAAAAAATCTAATATAAACTATATTTAAACAATACAATTAACTTCGTATTACTATAATTTTGCTCTGTTAAATAAGTCATGTTCTTTTTGTTCATTTAATTTGGCTCCTTGTGGAGGATGCGTGTGCGTAAAAGCCGTATTACGCACAGAAATACTAATTCCAAAGAGGCACAAATTATGATAGAAAGCGTCTTTCTTACTTAATGTCTTTTTCCATATATAGAGGACTACAGAACTTACCAAAAATCTTTCCAGAGTCATGCGTGTGGGCAGATGAGCAAAGAAAACGAGCATCACACTTCCAGCAGCTTTGAAATACGCGTCCCTCTTTGTACTGGTGGGCAACTGTAAAGCGAAACGGCGGTGGGGGTCTCTCGGGTGACTTGCTGAGGCTTATAAAGGGGGCAGATGCCGTCAGAGGACCGAGACACGCGTCAGAGAAACCACCCGTCCCTCTTAATGAGCACCTGGCAAAAAAAAATAAAAAAATATGTCCCGGCTGATGTTACTGGAAGAGGGCCGAAATTCCTTTACTCAAGAACACTTTTATTTTTTCTTTTACTCACCGGATGGGTCATGAAAAGAAGGTTGTTAAAAGCGTCGCGTCACGTTTCGACTAATTACAAAATTGTGAATATTTTGTTTGTTTGTTTTGTCCACTTCTGGCGCTACTTCTTTATACTCAGTGCATACAAATCGTAATCAACACATTTCAGGTGGCCTTCTGTTAGTAACATTATTTGCTTTCCTTTGTTCATCGGAAGGACGCTGGGAACACGCCTTCATCAAGAAACTCTGGTGGGATAAAAGTGTTATTATTAAAACATATAGCCAGGAATTACTGGCTGTATTTCTCTCAAGGAGAAATACTCAATTTCCTCTTTTTTTTTTTTTTTCTGTGATCAAACGAATTTGTGGATAAAACACTCCCCACATTTAAGCAATTATAGCAGTCTTAAGTGTGTGTCTCCCTCTTCCCTTCAGGATATATATCTTTGAGCTGCGTCTACTTAATGGCCACTTCAGCTTGCACTCCGTTTATCTGAACAAGACTTGTCGAAACTGGCAGGCATCCAATTAGGATGGGTCCCGAGCATGCAGTGAGGTTTAATGATACAATCTGACTTTTTAAAAATCCTTACACACATACACACAGCAACAGGAGAAAAAAAAAAAACTGTCTTGGAGAAGATGCTTATTCGTCATGGTAAATGGTGGCAAATGAGCAGGACTCTCTTAGCAGTCAAACAGAGCGATTCAGCACCATGGAGAGAGACCAAAAATATGTAAAACAGGTTATTCAGGTTGGGTCATAAGTTTCCATACATAGGAGAATGTAAAATGTATATTTCTTTTATATTTCAGATACCCAAGAAGATGCATTTGACAAAAGAGCAAAGAATTGAAATTATACTGATGGCTGATGGATCCGGAAGCAGTGGCATGGTTGCACAAAAATGTAACAGAAAACATGGAACGAGCATCACACACGACACTGTGGGAAAACTTATTTGCAAGTTTCAGAAAACTGGAAATGTTGCAGATCAACCACGAAGTGGTCCAAGACGTGCAGCGATTACACAGAGTCCCACAAAAATAAAAATGGTTGTCCTATATAAAAATGTTTCTCTTTTCTATGTATGTAAACTTATGGCCCACCCTGTATTTGGGAGTGATGATACAGGACATCTATTGATATTTCATATTACTTTTATACATCATTAAAGACTATATTACATATGTACATTTAGATCAAAGCTTTTACAACAAAAATATTCATGTAGATGGAAAAAAAATAGATTTGAGCTTTACATTTATAAATATTAAGCTTTTCTTAAAGTTTGTCACTAATTCTAAAACTATTGAAATGAAGCCTTAACTCATGTTTCTAGTTAGCAGTTAATATGCAGAGTAATAAAACATTCTGCAGTGGCAAACATGCTTTCGTATGGCAGCATATTTAAAATCTATTACCAACATTACATGCGTTACATACAAACCAGCTTTTGGATCAAAATAAAATGAAATGCAATAACTTTTGAGAGCCGAATGATTCTGGGAAATATTTATGCCAAAAAATAAAAGATCCGGCAGACAGCTGGAAAATCTGCTAATGGCATGTTGGACAGATGGTTGGTGCAGAACCTTGAGGCACTTTTAAATCAAACACTGAATCTTAACTTTGGCATTCCTGTGCTTTGTTTATATCAAGAATCCCATTAGACATAATGTTCATATCTAGTGCATTTCTGAGCACAACTATTGTAAAAAAAAAAGATTTTATTGTGTTCCAGTTCAACATCTGTAACTTCACTGATTACATTCAACCAAATAATTTGTTCAGTCATAGGACTGGAGGTTTAATGAGCAGCTGTTGCTGGCAGCTCACAAGATCTCTAAAAAAAAAAAAAAAAAAAAAAACCCTAAAAAAAAGGAAGAGAGACGGAAAATGTGGGATAACATCTGATATATGAACATTACATGTGAACATGGAGAAATGTTGGGTTTCCACAAATTTTATTATTTGAAAATTAAAACACAGAATGGAATAAAATAGAAACAGGCCTTTGAAAAATGCAGTTTCAGAAAATAGTCTAAAAATGATATCAGTTTAAAATATAAAACATTATTAATCAAGGACAGCTGACATACAGAAATGATCTGAGATCTCTACAAGATACTGACTAAACTCTTTACAGCAAGTCAAGATATTTTACAATCACAGAAATATTACAAATCCACATGGTTTCCACTGTTGGAGTGAACAGGGGCTTTCTTGATTTGGTTGTTTCACAGACGAAGCGCTGAAGAAAAAAATCATTGCCTGCTGATGTATGACACTAAAATGTACACCAGCTTTTCACAACAAAAACAGCATCAGACTCTCAGATATAACATTTTAAATAGCTAACATAAATTCAAACATATTTTGCGATGCTTTCCTGACAACTATCACAGACTTTTTAGCATATGTTCCCTAACTATCTAAACAAATTTATAAGAGTTTGGTAACAGTTTAGAGGGTGTTCCATGTGTGTGAGAACGGGTGACTGATTGAACGTAGCATGAAGAGCTTTGGGGTTCTCTGAACTTTATCTGCTATACAAGTACGAGCTACTTCACATCTACCATTATGTTTTACAAACACCTCAAGTTTTGTTGAGGTTCTTAAGGTTACATTTCTTCAATATGATTGTTACTGAAACAGCTACCTCCATCTGCACCATTTTAGTTACGTCATTCACGTTAAGAAAAAACATCTTTGACAGACCACAAGCTGTAATTGGTTAAATAAAGTCTTGCTTTAGGAACAGTTACTTTATGAGCTGTTGCAGGAGGACATTAAAAATGATGAAAAAGCTGTTTCTGTTTGGTTTTTGCTGCTAGACATTATTTAGCCACAATTCACAAACCTTTGACAGAGCATAGATAAAGGATTGAAATAAAGAAATGTGTTGATTTTAATTTAGTGCATTATAGTCAGATTATTTCTTAGAAATAAATGCAAACTAAAGCCTTTGTAGCTGCCACTTTTAAATCTGTGAGCTTAGTTGTACAACACTTTTCCATCTATCTATCTATCTATCTATCTATCTATCTATCTATCTATCTATCTATCTATCTATCTATCTATCTATCTATCTATCTATCTATCTATCTATTTATAATACTGATTAATTCCATTAAAAAAAAGGCTAAAAAAAAAACAGAAAACATTTTTAGAAACCAGGGCTGAAATAGCATATGTTAACATGGACAAAACAAGCTGCTTTTATGGCAAGCTCTAGGTCAGCCTATATAAAAAGATCAAAGCCTTAAAAAAACAAACAACAACAAAAAAAAAAAAGAAATCTTTTGTATAGACTGTAATTTTATGCTTTCTGGTCTGCCTTTGATTCATTGAAGTGCAGAGAGTAAACTGAAAGCAGCCTTTTTGAATGATTACATCTTGTTCATTAGAAATGGAATCAAGCCAAAAGGAACAGTGGCTGGAATTTAGCTTTGCAGAGACTTGTATTGACTTATATTTGCAGTTTTCACCTACTTGTTTCACATCTGTATATATACTAACTTAATATTTGTATATGATCATTACAGCTAACTATGTCGTATTCAAAAGGGCACATTACAATTGGTATTATTACACATAAATTATATTCTATTTAAAATATATTTCTATTTTTATTTTCTTTTTTTGTTTATTATCCTAGAGAAACTTTGCTTAAAATTGAGCAGAGCTCCATTCTAAATTATCTGTAGTGAGGACAAAATGGCTGTTATTAGTGTAAGCATAAAACAGCCAATGTAGTTTTGGAAAAGGCAGGAATCTGAACACATTTTGCCTCTTTCTTCTTCTGATTCCCACTGGTTTAACAATAAAGTAAAATTTACCCAAATAACATTGCATCTTCACAAATCTTAAAAATGTCATAGGAAGCATTTACCGAGTTCACCTGCTGCTTTTTGTGCACTTCTCTTACCAAGACTTGCTTATTGGACATTTGCATTTCTTGCTTTAACACTTATATGTAATCAGACACAGCATCTACTTCAAGTGGTGCCTCAAAAACAGCAAAACAGTTATTTAAAAGATATATATATGTGCGAGTAATGGTGATTATTCTGGTGGTTGCTCCTCATGCGCTCATGTTTTCATTGTTTTGATTTGATCTAGAAAAGGAGGAAAAGGGTTATTCAGCAAAATATAACACAGACAGCGGTTTCTTTGAACTCTCAGGATTACCAAAAGAAAACTGGACAAAGATCGGTCAAGATGAAGAGTTTACATGGGTAGGTTTCTAGCTTAATTACATTGCACAGGTGGCTTCATGTAAACGCACCTGCTTAGGATACAACAACATGGGGAAGAGAACCAGTGATAAATCCTAAACAACTACAATTCAACAACAGTAGTATTAAAAAGCAACCAGTACTCACTGTATAATTTGATCTATGGAAGGATTTGAATGAGGGCATTAAACATAACAGAAAAAAAAAAAAAAGACATGGACATTCTTGTACAATGACACATATTTGTTATGAACATTGAAATTCTAGATATCTATAGGTAAAGATAGCAATGAGAAAATGGCAGAAACAAAGAAACGTCAATAAATGATAAGATAAAAACGGTGTAATAATCCTCATTCACATCACTGCTCCCTGTTATTGAGGTTAGAACTAAACGTCTCATTGGTTTAACTCTTCCTCAACCTACTACCACTCCACCTACTTAACCTGAGGTTATAACCATTTCTTAACAGAACTTTAACTTGGTTGGAAAAAGTAAGACTGGAGTATTAATGTGGACAGGAAACTAACCTGAACAGCTGCAGTTACATTACAGCAGTGGTGGGTTAATTTGTTATTAGAACAGCTGCTTCGAATAAATTGGCAGTCGGGTATGTTAAATAACCAAATAAATAAGAGCACTTCCCAAACTTTCTAACTGTGTTCTGTGTATGAAAACCAGCTGTGAGAAGTTTTTCCTCAGCTTCTGGAGTCTAATTAACCTGACCATTGCCTTTCTACGCAATTCTACTTGATAATCATCTGCCTTCAGTGATCCACTGGGATTTCTCCCATTGAGCTGGATTTCTCTGGTTGATGTTTAACCTTACCAATCAAGAAAACAGAAGGAGGAGTTGTGACTGTAGCTTGGCAATGACAATGAAGAAAGTGAATAAAGACATTCTGTTCTTGTTGGTCAAACTTTCAAATTTTGAGGAATTAAAGTTGGAGCAAGAAAAATGTACAAGCCACTTTATTGCTGGAAAATATGTTGTGGCCCTACTCCCCACGGCATTGTCAGCCAAACGTTAGCCACTGGGTAAAATCAGATCCAGTATTTTTAAAACTTCAAGAGAGTCTAACCCCCCCAACAACCCCCCCCCCAAAAAAAAAAAAAAAAAAACATGTGGAATATGACAAAATATGTGTGGTTGTTACTTTATTAGATTTTGAATGCTATTCTGGTCTCAAATTACCTAAAAAGTAATCAGGTAAGAATAAAGTAGATAGCAAAGTAAACTTCATATTAATCTGGGAGGGGGGGTGGGAACAATAATACAGAACTTTAGTCTTCAATTATGCACATTAGGTCTCTTACCTTGCAGCCAGTCAACTCCTTCTTGTAAACCGTCTCCTCTGATAGCATCCGTGGCACTGGAAAACAACAAATTTGTTCTGAAAAACAAAAACCTGCATCCACCCAGGCTTTTCTACCAACCATGCAGAAAAAAAAAACAATCCCAAAAAAAATGTTACAAGAATCTATGACTGGTTCTATACACTCCTGTGCTTTAATAGTTATGTTAGATTATTATTAGTAGTGTACAGTTTATGAGACAAGTAATTCAAAGTGTTTTAATCTGTTCATACCAGATGTACCAGGGCTTGTCTTTGATGTTCTCCAAACAGAGCATCTGTGAGACCTTGACAGAAGACAGAGCATCTCTGACATCCATCTTGTTAGCAAAGAAAAGGATGGGGATCCTCCTGTGTTTAATATCTGCAGCAAAAACGGTGAGTAAAATGTAAACAACCTACAGTTGTGATGGTGAATGATAAAGAACAATATTTTGACACCATTGCTTAATATTTGACACAATATTGCTCAATATGTTTTCTGCAAAGTGGTTCACTGTGTTTCTCACTCGTGGAATACACATGCATACATAACAAAAATAAAACGGGTTTAGAGTCATTGAAGTTTGTGTCTTCAATGACTTTGGTTTATAAAATATAAACCAAAAATCTGTATTCATACTTGTATGGTTTAGACATAGAACAGTATAAAAAAAACTGTGCAAGACAGATCAGAAAGAGCTCACCGGGATGATTTAATAATGTTTCCAATTCTTCTTTGGCTACAACCATTCTTAGCTTGTCTGCACTATCAATGACAAATATGATAGCCTGCCCTTCCCTGAAAAGAGAGCAACGGGAATAAAATGTATATGTATATCACCAAAAAAGGCAAAAGTACAGACTGTATGTGTGCACTCACTTGTAGTAATGTTCCCAAAGATTCCTGTATCTGCCTTGACCAGACATGTCAAAGACGGTAAATGAAAGACTGGAGAAAAGAAAAAAAATATATATATATATCAAATAAATAAACAAATAAAGTTGGAAACCTAAAAGTTATCACATGGAGCACATATTCTATCACTTAGCAGACAAAATGTTCAAATCAAAATAAGGTGGTAAAACAATAACACATTTAATTCTTACAATATGGCATTAAGTATCTACCTGGATGTCTTGAACTTCTCTATACTGAAGCCAATTGTTGGAACAATGTCTTGCACCTGGGCCTAAAAGAAAAAGAGATTGGCTTCTACAAGAATGGCTCAAAGGAAAGCTCACACAGACAATGTTCATTCTATTGTCATGTAAGAAACGATTTTTGTTTTTTACTTAATTGCATTGTAAATAATGTTGTGCAACAGCAGATCAACATAACTGCAGGACAACACATTTAAAACACAAAAAGGACATGCACAATATGTCAATGTGAGGTGTAATAAATACAACAAGTGCACAAATTTCACTGGATCATTAACTTACATTGGAAGGCTTGAGTCTGTTGATGATGGTGGTTTTGCCACTGTTGTCCAGGCCCAGGCAGAGCACATTCACCTCCTTCTTTAAGCCCAGCCATCCGACCAACTTGTCAAATAGTCCCATTGGCTAGCAAGCAACCATCAGCTGTGAGCCTTCAATGAAAAAAAAAAAAAAAAGCAAAAGTTAGTAGGTTAAAATTACAAATAAGAAGAGGTAAGGAACAGAAAGGGAATCTATAATAGACACAAGTTGATCACACTTTCCCAGCAGTAATGATGATATCAGTTTTAATGAACTTATATTTTTCTCTTCTCTTTTTTGTTTTCAGCCATTATTATGCACCTTTCCCTCTTGTGACCTTTAGTATCTCAAACACTGAGATTTAAATAAGATGTAGGTGGGTAGCATCCATCCAACAGGCTAAATATATTCATGCTTTGAAGAAAATGGATGCATGGCCACTAAAATATTATAGCATATTATATTCACTACTTTATAAGAGTCCGATTCAACTACCAAGATGCACAAAAACTGAATTAATATAGGACCTTTCCATTCATAACGGCTACTTAACGCCTACATTCACCCAGTCACACTTTAAGAATGGAAGTTGTCTAATGTTGATATTGCAATCAATGACACCTGCAACCAGCTCTGATTAAAATTAACATGTACTGAGCAAGTGCATAAAAAGGTGCATCACACTGATCTGGTTGCTAGCTAAAATGTTTTAAAGAAAACTATAGCCTCTTTTAAGTTTAGAAAAGCCCAGTGTATCCTAAAACAGAGCAAAGATCAATGAGGAATAGAAATTCCTTTCATGCTGAGAAATTAACTAAAAAACGAGAAATCTCTGGTTACGTTCAGTAGTGTCCATATCCCTTATATTAGCTGAACCATTCAGGAAATATGTTCATGGTGCTAAGTCTCTTTCACAAAAAAATATCACGCAGAGCAAAATAATGTTTTGATTAATAATGAATGTACATGGAATTCGTTTATTTTAAATAGCAACCAGGTTATTTTCTATGAACATCAAACTGTGACATTTAACACACAACTGTAAATCTACATATAATTGTGATCATATCAGTGAAGATTATCTACACCAAGTGTAGTTAATGCACAGTGTATCCTGTCGCAGATAGGTGTTTGGTGGTTCTAACCAGATTTGGTCGCATTTACTACACGCTAATAGCTATTTAATCTCTGTTACGATAGTCGCTAGCAAGCGACTGCTAACCGTTAGCTGTTTGAAAGTTAACTACTTCAGTCATTTCAATACAACATAGACAGTGCTTTCCGTGGTCTTTCTAAAAAAAAAAAAAAAAAATCACAACATCTTTCCACTCTAAATAATCCAAATGTAGTTATGCAATTGTAGCGAAAACCAACACCGCGGTTAGCCTAGCTACGATATCGCTAACGTTAGCCCGTATTATCCTGTCGCAGATTGTTAAGTAGAGCTGTAACTTACCTGTAATTCGCCCGTGCTATGTTGCTAATATTGGATCAGCTAGTGCAGTCCCAGTCTTTGTATTTAACTAACTGATGTTTCATTCATTTCTCTGCTGCTCTCTCATACTACATAGAATAAAAATATAACTGGATATTTACACTACGTTGCTGGGAGACCACCGTCTTGCAGCTAGGTTGTATCACCGGGGCAACGGAAGACGTTTTCCACGTCAGCCGCACAGAGGTCTACCGTGATTGGTCATTGTGTTGCTCGGCAACGATTGGTCTGCTCCGCTGTGATTGGTTGTTACGGTGATAGCGGCGTAATCATATCTATGGATAGATGTGTAGTAATGTTTGGCAAGCCCAGAATTTAAAACCTTTAATCGTAATGACTATAAAGGAGTAAATTGAGTGTTATTACTTATTGCCCGTTTGTTATTTTTAAAAAGCATGCAAAGCACATACCTAAAACTTGGAAAATATGCAATTTTCCATTTCTGTTGTCAGCTAGGACTAAATTACACAAAATAAAAATGAAAAGTGAATTTAAATTTTATGACTATTAGTCTCGAGGTGCTTGTGGGGTGGTGGTAGGGTTAGAGCAGGGATTCTGCAATGTAATGTAATTGTTGTTAAATATACTTTATTATAGTAAAATTGCTAACATTACTAACCAAACCTGTTTGCATGGAATACAGAAGCGAGTTTCTCGAAAAGTTAAAATGTCCGTGTAAATCGAGATTTAAAGCAAATTGAGAAGAGAGTGATATTTGGCAAAATTTATGCAAACTTTCCTGATTTTCATCTTTTACCCACCTGGTTGTTTAAGATGCAAATCATCTGATATTTAAAATTTGAAATGATTTAACATCTAGTCATAAACAAATTGCACCACGTGATTGATCAATAAACAAAAAGGACTATGACCATGTACTTATCACCATATGACCTTCAAGTGTCTGTTTACATACCTGATAAAACTTCATGCCTTGAGACTGTTCACATGAAGATGATCGTCTACAGGCGCTTAAAGCTCCCAATTTATTGTTGTGCATTAACCACAAAGCCACAAAGCGTGGCACAAAGATGTTTTTTAGAGTTTGAGCAAAAAGCAGCATTAAAATATAGTTGTTTATTAAGGAATAAACTTACAGAATAAAACATACAACTTTCACAAGACTTTTTTGTACAAGACATACTGCATTATCATAAGGAGAGAACATACATTTAAAAAAAAATAAATAAAATAAAATAAAATCGTTTGACATTCAGTGGTCTTCAGTTCAAAAATCATTGTGGAATTTTTATTTATTTTTTTTTTGTTTAAAACCAGTTGGAAATCTTAGAACCACATTATTTCTCATACATCACCAGATGGTATATATCCTCTCCTCATCTTCCCTGGTCATGAGGTAACTGACTTGACACCTTTCAAAGTCAATAGGAACCATTGGATTGTCACTTGGAAAGATAAGAGGTATTGGTGAACACTTGAATAGACACTAGAGACATGAAGTCCTAAATTCAAGTGAATGCTAGTACTTGCTGAGATAATAAAAAGACCCGGTTTGGCCAATGCTGACAGAGGTTGATTGTTGTGGAAGCTGTCCGAAAAGATGATAGTTGGGATTATGAGTGCAACTTATCTGGACAGCCGTGGGTCTAGTACCAAGACCCCTCCCTCATGAGCAGCATGTGGTACTTGCAACACCTAACAGTCCAGTGTTTGTGCAATTGGTTGGATGATGATGCCAAGGATCGGTAGCTGGATGTGTAAAAACACAGTCTGGTTTTGTGAAATGGTCTCAAACTTGAAATCCACTCTGATGGATGTGATGAAGTTGCAGTCGAAGAGACTGTATGCTGCTTATGATTCTCCTCTGGTGGCCAATCAAACAGACTCCAATGCGTTTGATGTCCCTGAAGAGGAAAATGAGAATTATCTGGTTATAAATAAGAGCATCTGGCAAAACCTTTGCTTGGACAGAAACCTGAACTTTAAGAGCTGAAATCAAGGCAAGTTGAAGAAAGGTAGGTCTAAAAAGTTTACATAACAGGAGTAGAATAATAAAAACAAACATCAAAATTAAATGTTATAGAAAAATATTAAGGATCCTGAAAATGTGATGAAGTTGTATATTTAGCTACTCTTAATGTGAACTGAAACTAAACTGCCACGCATTTATTTGGCATGTCAAAAACCACGACCTTTTGTATCAAATACATGCCTTCTCATATACAGCACTCTGCACAATCCACACAGTTCTTGATGCATTGCTTTGACAGTGTTCTCATTTCTCTTTGAGTTTAATGCTCTATTTCTGTGCAGCATCACTCCTTATAATTTAGCTCCACTTACTCTATACTCATAGTTGCAATAGAATCCAGTGTAGTGTATCCTGCTGCAAGGAAGTTGCTCTTATACTGGCTCATTTTGATGGAGTCTAGCCAGTCGCCAATAGAGATGAAAAGAGGGTAGTCTGGCATCTCCTCAGGAGAATCTGAAAAACTGAGAAGACAAACAGCATATTAGCTGATACAAAGTCAAGTTGGCATGTCAACAAACTGAATGGTTGATTTTATTTGGCTACTTAATAGTGCAAAGTAAATTATAAAAAAAAAAAATACACTTTAGAAATACTACTCTTCTTTCACTGAGGTATGGGATGTACTGTATCTTTGATTTTTTTCACTTATGAAAATATATTCCAATTATTATTAATAAAGGTCAAAAGCAAACTAAAAAAAATAACTACTTTTTGTAAAAGCATTAATTGTCATTTTTGCTGTTAGGGCTACGCTAGAAAAATAAAAAAAAATAATATTACAAGAATAAAGTCATTGTATTATGAGAATAAAGTTGTGATATTATGACTGTATTCTAAAAATATTATGACTTTATTCTCAGATTATCTCCACTTTATTCACATATGACTTCATTCTTGTAATAGTATGACTTTTATTCTCATAATACAACCTTATTCTCATAATATTACAACTTTATGCTCAAAATGTTATGACTTTACTCTTGTAATTATGGTTTTCATTCTTTAGTATGGTTGTAGTACTCCGTCTTTGTTTGTGGTTTGGAGGCAGTCACAGACATTTACAATAAATTGACATTTACCTTAGAGAGTCATTGACCAGAGTCAGCATACTACTGGGATTGATTATGAGTTTGTCAAGGAAAGAAACCACATCGTTAAAGCTTGGGCGTTGGCTGGACTCCTTCTGCCAGCAGTGCAGCATCAACTGGTGTAGGGTCACAGGACAGCCAATTGGTGCTGGTAGACGATACCCTTCTTCAATTGATAATATAACCTAAGAGAAATGTCAGCAAAAAAACAACTACTGGATTAAATGTTTTTATTGTTAAAATGACATCATTCTGATAATCTTGGAGCTTTTATTGATTGTATGTAAGCAGAAACTTACATCTTGATTGGACATTTCCCAGTAGGGCCTTTCACCATATGACATCACTTCCCACATAACAATGGCATAGCTCCATACGTCACTAGCTGAAGAAAACTTTCCATAAGCAATAGCCTCTGGCGCTGTCCAGCGTATCGGTATTTTTCCTCCCTGATTCAAAGCAACACAGAATCGTCCTCAGAGTTTGTTTTACCATAAAATCATTTTGGAGCTGCCATTTCCACACTCACTGTAGCTGTGTAAGCGGATTCAGAGTCATCTTCAAGGATCCTCGACATGCCAAAATCCGACACCTTACACACCAAGTTTTCATCCACCAAGATGTTGCGAGCAGCCAGGTCCCTGTGAACGTAACCCATGTCTGAAAGGTATGTCATGCCGACTGCGATGCCACGCAGCATGCCAATCAGCTGGAGCACAGTGAACTGGCCCTCACGGGTCTGGAGTTTGGAGATGCAGACAACAGAGAAAACAAGATAAATAAGTAAGAAAGTGTTGTTGTTTTTTCCTGTAGTTGATGTACAAATAAATATCTGAATTATAAAAAAAATCTCAATACCCGCAGGAAAGCGTCAAGCGCTCCATTTTCCATGTACTCCACTACTATCATCACTGGTCTACCTGAGAGAATGGAGAAAAGTACTTAGTGTGAAACTGTTTAAAAGATGCATGCAGGAAACAAAAGGGGATTGGATTTTAAAAGCGAGCCTCTATTGAAAGGTGATTACAAATAAACATAAGTAGACTGCTGGTAAGATATATCAAATATCAGAAGATAATAAAACCATTGTTTTTTCTTTAAAGAATAAAATACAATGGTTTTACATACACACAAAAAATGAATTCAGCTCACTCTTAGTGACAACTCCCTCCAGCCTGATTATGTTAGAGTTGTTGAATTGTCCTATGATGGAGGCCTCACGCAGAAACTCCCGTCTCTGCTCTTCCATATAGCCACCTTTAAGAGTCTTTATTGCCACAGCAACGTCCTTTCTGCCAGGAATACGCAGGCGCCCACTACACACCTCTCCAAACTCACCTGTTAAGACAAATCAAGACTACAGTAACTCCTATGTACTGAATCAGACTCTTTAGTAATGTATTATAGTTATTTATTTTCCTTGTGGTATTAACATATGAACTCTTCATATTGAGCTTTAGCAGACACAACTTTAATAAAAAAAATATTTGATTAAATGTTTCATGTAAAAGTGTAGAACTTTGTCATTTCGCCTTTATCCTGAATATTGGTAATTGCGCTTCTTGTCCACTAGATGGAGACTGTGTGACAGGAAATCACCAAACGGCAGCAACCCTCGGTATTTAGTGCAGGGACCATCTGTTCAGTTTAATGAAAAGTGTTGATTGCAGTCCGCAGTTTCAACTTTTCATGTCTAAGCCACAAAACCATAAATTTCCTTAAAAACAGCTGCAATTAGACACCATAAAAACATTCAATGACAAGTTTATAGTATTAATCATTAATTTTTACTATCTTCCTTGACATAAAATGAGATCATGTCTCTTTCTCAAGTGCCCAATAATAATAACTGAGACAGCTTAGGCAGACTTGTGTAATATTTTTTTTAAAAACAGCACCTAAGTTAAGGTGATACCACACTTTGAAAATGCTCTCAAACTTCCAGGCACTTTGTATAAATTCACAAATTACAGCAATCTACTGATAAGGATTAGTAATAATCTCACCAGCACCAATCACTCTGTCAATGCATATGTACGAGGGGTCTATCTCCTTTGCGAATTCTTCCACAGCCTGTGTTGGGTCTTCATATGTGTCTGGGTCCACGTACGTCTTTATTCCAGAAAATGGGACTGATGCATAAAAGACATACATGAACATCACAACATCATATTGGATATTT